TGAAATATGCTGCCTCATTAAATATAGCTAGTTGAAGAGTTTCTCCTGAGTATATTATGTCATTAATATTATGTCTCAATATTTTGAAACTTTCAAATTCAGGATAAAGTATAAAAATTCCCATCCACCATTACCAAGGGTACATCATTTCATAGCTATGTCTTAATCTGGGATCTATGGCGGACAGTTTGTATTTACTGCTCGCTTTTTAGTGAGAGTAGAGCGCTCAAACTAATCAAACTGACATAAGTGTAGTAAAACTGTAAAAACAGGCCCGAAGACCTCAAACTAGTATAATACTTAAGCGGATCATGCAAGGATATGAGTGGGCGATAGAAATTTATATGCACTTACAATTCAAAACGCTCGTTGAATTGAGGTTTCAGACAGTTTTTGATGATTTTTGTTCTAGCTGGCTTGTCTTGGTGTGGAAATAAGTGCCGTGGAAGCAATTCTATGATGACGAAAGGGTCGGAGAGACCTTTTTGATGATAAATGAAAATAGGAAAGAGATCACTTTAGCATGTTTCATATGGACAGATTATAGCACTAAATATCAACGCCATATGACTCACGATCTACATTCGCAAAGCAAATATTTGTATATTTTATAATAATAGCTAGGCTAAAACCGTATGACAAGGTCCTCGCCCTTCAGTCATAGCAAAGATGGGGATTGAATCCTAACCTCGATTTGCTCTTGGTACTAGATCATTTATATTCGAGGCGAGTGTCCTTCGAAACTACCAATAAATCTTTAATAGGTACCATAATCACCCTGGATCCTTTGAAGTGATGCAAGGACTTAAATTTGAATTGACCACAAGGTAATAATTTAGCCTCACATCGTCACTTAATTATCCCTACAATTGCAGTAGGCCAACTTTTCCCTTTGTTTGGTATATTTTTGATCTATTTCATAAAGTATGAATTCTTATTAATGCTGTCTGTCAGAACAATACAGATGAAAGCTTAGCACAGGTTAATCGGGGTCGCAGAACGGTGAGCCGAGGATTTCTTCGCAAAATACAACAGTCTGCTGCGCGGCAATATTTCCTCGGCTTCCATTGCGACCACATTACGAAGTCCTTCCAGCCAACTTTGCCTTCGAAATGGAAAGTCACGCCACAATATATCACTAAGGAATTCTTATAAACCCAGTTTTTCTTCATACTCCTCTCCAAATCATTTTTTCAACCAGGATGGATTGCAATTTCGACCCCGCATCAGCTTGATCCGCCCTTATCAGAACTAGAATCCGAGTCATAAGCCTAAAGTGGTGACACGTGACCACTCCGCCATTGAGTTAACAGGATAGAAGAGAATTTTAAGGTAAACCAGGCTACATTGAAATTGTTGATGAGGCTTTAAGAATAGGCGAAGTTCGTTACATTCGATTTGAACATGTTCAGACACTACTATTAAAGATTCACTGATGGTTATGCATCGAATATAAATAGCATAGTCCCTTATCATTAACCCTTTTCCTCCTCCGCAATGGGGCCATTGGCGAAAGTAATTAAACTCCTGAGGTTTGCATGTGCTTCCGGTGAGATGAAGAGAAATTTTCTTATATAGCTTTCACTAACTTGACTTAGACACAACTACAAAGTGAACACTAGATTACAGACTCCCTCTGCATGAAAAAGGAATATCGAGACCATACAGGCTGTGTTAGCTATGGCTGATGATACTATCCGAGTGTTGTCTGACTGCTCCATGATGGGAACCACGGACTTAATCGCGAGGCTATGTGTATTTATTTATTCAGTGGCCATTTAGGCATCAATGAGGATTAGAAGAGAATAAATTCTTGTCGGATAAGGGGTTATAAGAGGCATATAGTAGCCCAGGCAAGTATATTAAAAAATGCTGGGTTTCGAAGACACTCTTATTGAGGTAGCCTGACTCGACTTTCCATTTCGAAGGAAAAGCTTGGAGGGAATAATTCGTGAATGTGTGTTACCGTAAACCGAAGTTTGACTGGCGTGGAGTGAGGACTGTTGAATTATTTAAAGAGGTCATCGACTTACCATCCTGCGACTCCGATGAATCCGTTCAAAATTTCGTCTGTCATGTGACAAACATCTTCAAAGAAAACAACCATTCTTTACGAAATACCGAACCCATATAGTACTTTTGCGATCGCAAAACTAGATACAAGAAGTGGCTAGAGTTGCAGCCGGTTAGCCATTTTCCTGGCTTAGTATATTTCGTAAAGTAGAGTTAGTTGCTTAGATGAGGTCTGTCAAATGACAGATGAACACTTAGGACAGTCTCATCGGGGTCGAGGATGGTGAGCAGAGGACCTCTTTCATAATCTAACAGTCTTTACCCCACACCAATTAATAATTCAGTTTACAATAATACGAATTCATGAATGTTAGACTGGCCTGGTTCGAATTGGAAGCAAGTACTTGAGTACTTGGCACTGGGAACTTCTAAGATAAAACCTACTTCTCTATTCGTTTTATAGTGGATTCAAGAAATCTCGACGCCCCAACGCAGCAAAACAAGAATAGCAATAAAAAGCCTTTTCTGTACTCACTTTATCTTGAGGCAGTGACTCTAGGCTTTCTTGAGTCAGATGGAGGAAAGTTTATATACACAATACTAACTTAGTCGTCCCGTGTCGCTTAAGCTGTTTTGAAGACTGGTAATTCAATTGCTCCACAATCGGGCGAGTAGGCGTCAGGATGACATTGCATTTCACTTAGTCCTACTATCCCAAAAGGCAGGACTGATGTTTTGACCTTGCCTAAACTGATCTCATCAACACGTCCAAAAGGATTGAATGCCGGTCATGAGTAGAAGACTACGTGACCACTCCACTATAAACCGTGGATAAGACAGCCTCTTGGGAGGCAAGTCTAAATGAACTCCAACGGCACTGTGAGACCTACTCATTTTATTGTAGGAAAACTCAACAATCAATCCTTAAATCACCTTAAGCAAATTAGGCTAACTAAGTTATTTGGTAAGAATTAATGATAGTCTTAAAGCTTATTTAAACTGAAAATGCGTACGCAAACATCCTCTCCACTGCGAGATGGGTGTCTTTGTCATACAATTATAATGTAAAGGAGAAAAAGCATGCGTTAAGGTGTTATTATTCTGTGTAAGTCATATAGTGGAATTTGAAGAAATTTGCCTCGTTTGGTCATTCGCAGGCCGCTGGCTCAACCACTTGAGGAAGGGAGAGGGCAAGGCTTCGTTTTGACAAAAGATTCCATTTATCCGTGCCTATTCCATCCACCCACTTGGAATGGTACAGGAAACCGGGTCATGCGTGTCCAGAGGTGAGAGAGTTTCAAATTCCACGATCGCTATGAGTTTTCCTGTACCACATACCTCCGTCACAGATGTAATTTGAGAGATCTGTCAGCCTTGAAAGTTACAATAACCCAGTTATCCGGAGAAACTGAAGCTACGTGGTCCATTGAGCAGCGAGCCTACCTCAGGGCACAGATGGCCTGGTTTCTAAACCCTCTGGGAGCTGTGCCAAAGCACAAACGAGATCGAGGATGCACTCGACTGAGCAAAAAAGGTATTTTCAATGCTGGTCAGAGTCAGACTGCCTGGCCATCCAAGCATTCAGTTCGCTCAGTCGCGGCCGCCTAACCTATCAGACCCTGACATATAGAAATATACGCTCTCTAATCTAGATTGGACGATGGTTTGTTAAAGTTACAGTTGATACTCTATCAATCAGCATGGTCCTCCATTCGCATTACATTAAAAATATTGTCCTTTATTTTCTATTTGAAAAATGTCTGATTGCTTGCAAACAAAGTCTCTTAACTTTTTCAAAAAACCTTTTGTTAGCGCCTACCAAATTTAATCTGATAAATCTATTCTTTAAGCCTAAAAGCTGAATTGAAAGTAAGAACACGGAGGAGTTGACCCATTAGATAAAGCCCTTTATTCACAACATCATGGCAAGCTCACCTTTCAAGTCGCAGAACGCCACAGCCATCCAATACAAAATTTGTTGTGAAATAGGATTCATTGTTGGTTTCGGACACTATCCATCACTTTGCTAATATATTTAATACAATTTTTTCCAACATAAAGCTATACAATCAATATAGCAAGTTAAAACTTACATTTCGATGCTTTTATTCGGCTTAGATGTATATTCAATGGGAATATTATCTTTCTATATACAGAAAATTTAGGTAGAAAAAACTCAGCAAAGAAAAAAAGACTAGGTGGTAATATATAAGGATTACATACAATATTAACTCTAATATGGAGAAAATGAGGATGTGCATTTGGTGATCACAAGAAAAACGTCTAAACGAGTGGTCATGGGCTAAATGTCTAAAGTTTTCAGCGATCAAGTGAAATTACTTGCAGCTCAGTTTTAGGAATGAGCCTGAAAGAACAATCATCCCACCCGCCAGTAACTAGAGGGAACGGAGCGCAGTGAGCAGAAAATAGCTCAGCATGTTTAGAGAAACTAGGCCTCGAGGGGCCGGGGTTCATTGTGCAAAAGCGTAATATGGAAGGATTCATAGGAAAATCCCGCTATAAAACAGTAGTTTTTTTTATCCGCTCTGATTCAGCTATGCTTTAACATTTGTGCTGACAGAATCCATGGGACAATGTCTTTTGGTATACACACCCACATTCGCATACCTTAGATAGACTTGCCAAATAAACTTATAGCATAATTTTGAATCGGACCCACTTTATATTCCAAACTTTGTTTTAGGCTCAGGTTGCTATAATAGAGAGATCCGAGTCTGATGATGCCTGATAAGCGACAAGTGAGAGCTTAGCACCCTTCCACTGAAACTGAAACGAAATGCTCCGGGGATAGCATCAGCAAAAACGCTCCAGCGGGCCAACTTCTGACGGATGAAACGGGTCTCTAGATGCCATAAACGCAAACCTATAAGCAAGAAATAAGCTATCCTAATATGGAAACAGCTCCTCCTCAACTGGCTAAAAATTAGATTTCACCATATCATAATTGGCTGAAAGAATTATAAATGCCACCTTTCTAGCTTCTGGGGTAGTACTAATGGCCTAAACAATCCTGATCTCTGATTTCCACCAAGGTTTGTCTGCTCATGTCCGTAATAAATGCTAGAGTAGCCTCGGTCATGGTTACAATAGGCGTAGCGGAATGTTCTTGCCATTTGGATGGATGAGCTGTTACAACAACTGTATGGGCACGAGTGGATTGGCTGAGAGCACGGTCAATGAACATTCTCAATCTGCTTCATTTCTTCCCCTTCCATTTGTTTTTGTTATGGTTGCATCTAACTTGTCTGAGTAATAATGATGGGATGCACCCGTGGAATGCTAACGAGTATAAATAAGATAAAAATTGGTTCAAAAAGCATCGTCTGTTGCAATTAATTTTGCCATTATTTCAATGTTCCTGAAAATTGAATGCAGTATCTTGCTATAATCATATTTGCACACCTGTCTGCACATCTACTTTGCATATGCATAAATGTTTGATCACTTTTGTTCATACGCCTTTTTATTCTAAAAGCCAGGTTATTGACATCTCCTCAGTCTCACAAACTACGCCTAACCTCTTGTCATTTACACGAGATTAATCCATGTTGAGGGTGGAGATGTGAGAAACAATAACAATAAAAACCAACAATAATAAGACCGTTGTCCAAATTTAAATAATCAATCCCATAACTTTGATAATATAAATCAGGTATAAAATTTTATCGGGGAAGCATTCATTTCATATAAAAGTGCATGATGAGAAGATTCTTTAGTTGGTCTCACCTGAGGACGACAGCCAATTCCCGTTGTTCTGTTGCTGTTTGGCTTTAATACGAACTTAATGTTGACGTAGTCCATGAGGTATCTTCTCTCGTTTAGGGTGAGACTGGGCTAAGCTCTTGTCTATTATTTGATGGACGTCATCAGAGCTGGAACTCATTCTTGTAAAAGTCTCACGTTAACACTGGGCCAAAAAGACTACCGGCTCTATCTTACCTTACATATATGCTCATAAATAAAAAGAGAATGTGTATTGGCATAGGTGGATATATAAAGTCTTGATTAATTCACTTTCATATTGGTCATGGTACTTTTACTTAAGTGTGTGTGTGCGTGTGTGCGCTAATGTCTATTCACAATAGTGGTCTTAAATGAGAGTGATTAAAAATGCCTAAAGTCAGGCTCAGGTCATCAAGGCCTAATGGCCCAAGAGAAGACTGGACGAGATAATGAGATGTGAGCTTGTACGTGTGAAACTCAGGTAAAGAAACCGCACCCGTCATTACCCGTCAGTCTAGGAAATCGGCCATCATCTTCCGGTGTGATCATACAACGAATCCCTTCATTATGCACTCTCATACGAGATGAAAGTCTCCCCAACAATGTTACCCTAGGAGATTAATCGAAACACAGTGAATACTTCTTTCTATAAAATTATATATTGAAACGTATATAGTTTTATGTCTTATTTTTACCCGTTTATTTCATCATAGCTATAATCCATAGGTCCATAAACAATGAGTAATTATTACCTAAGCTTTCATAACAACAAAAAGTGAAAGTTAAAAAGCTATTAGAATCAGTGCCTAACAAAGTAATCTGAACTTTCAGCCCTTTTTAATTGGGATGCTCGCAAGCAATTGTTAAGAAAGTCGAATTCTGCAGTCATGGATTCATGTCAAAAGTCATCCTATGCTTAACAAGCAGCTGGCCAATCACATTTTATATCCATTGACAGGATTCTTTACCTTTCCTACTATCTCAACTCACAGTTGAGAAGAAAGAAGAGTATGTGGATCCAGAAAGGAAAGATGCTGACTACGGGCAGTAAGGTAAAATGGTAGATTCCAGTCACAAATTGATGACATTATTCTTAATTTCAATTTATCTGAGCACCATAATTAAGACCTAACTTATGATTGGTTCTCAAATGATACCAAGCCCGTATTATCTGTTCGCTGATGAATCTCAAACAGGTGAGCCATTTTTATATTCAAATTGAAAAGAGTATCTTTAGGCTTACTTCCCTCAATTTTGAAGGCAAATATAGCATCATCATAGCTCATACTTTTTCTGAGAGAGAAGAGAGTTGTGGGAGAATTTGTTAGAAAATTGGTCCATTCTGTCAAAAATATGTATTAACCAATAACTTAGCTGCCTTAGCTCGAGGATTACTAACTATAGCATTGATATAAAATATCAATATAGTCATGGAAATATAGATTCTAACTACAGGATAATATCAAGATAGGGGTTATGCAAATTCAACTCGCATACTATCACTCCCCTTAAGTTGAATAAAGCTCTTAGATAAAACAATTCGCTTAGCCAAACTTATCTATTATTAAACATTAGAATACCTTTCATAGGTTGAAATACATTGATGGAACACTTGTTATCTGTGAAAAAAGCCTAAGGTAGAATTATGCCCTTTTGCGGAGTGTCAGGTGGTGATTCTGTTGCCTATTTTAAGTCTGGTCAACTCCGTTCGTCAGAAAAACTTTAGAGGATTGTGTGAATTTAGCTATCATGAAAAATTAAAGAGCAAACTACTGATCCTTTTCATGAGATCCAAATACTGGAGACACGCGATAAAGTTGAAATATTTTATTTTTCATGTAAAACAATGCGATATGGAAAGAAATTTAGTAGTAGAGAAATTATAGAATATTTGAGAAATGGATTTTTTCAGAAATTCTTCACGTAAGTCATAATGAGCATTGTCAAAACTTAGCTAGAAATAAAAGTTGCTATCACGCAATGTATAAGTATACAGCAGGCTCAAGAGGTGCGAGCCATCCCAAACTCCTTTGAGAGGTGTTTCAATGGATATGGCCTTATCTTTGAAGTAAACAATACATGATTTTAAAATTCGACCTTCTTATCTTACATACTAATTTGCTAACCAAAGATGTCAGTAGTGTCCTGAGGTGTCCTTTCATTTATTATAGAGAAAATGTAAATATAGGTAATTTTTGTACTTCAAGGTCATACAGTGAAGCTACCGACCACGAAATAAATATGCTCTGCCTCACAACAATATTGCGATTAAGTCCTTGTTACAAACAATAATGGAACCTCGGTGAGAGTTAGCTACAGTTAAGCTGAACTTCGTGGAGAAATAATCGCATCATTTCATCGTATTAAACTCAAATATTGCAGAATCAGCCTTTATTGACCGAAGGCCTAATTAATTCTTTTATTCTACACATCACTTTTCACTATTTGTATTCTGTTCATCTAGCTAGTATTTGATGAACAATTTTTTTCAAATAAACTTCCTCGTGGTTGCCAATTGATGCGCCTAAAAGCAAATTTTATCTTATCTGGATATAGATTTATGTAGGTGAAAATAAGTCTCTGAATTTATTTTTACCTGCTGGTACAATTTATTATTAACTAAGGTAATAAAGGTGAATTAAAAAGTAATGTTAAAATTTAAGATTGTTGGGGTAGTGATAGAAATTTGCCTAGAACGATCATGTTTAAGATGTAAAGAAAAAAGAGTCTCTCTATCCTGGAATGTTGTTGTAATTCTATGAAGCATTGCTTAATTATGAATTGAGAAGTGCATGCCTCATGCTCAGTACTTTATCAGATATTCGAAAGTGTTAAAGCGAATACAAAATATGATACAAATGAAT